CCGTATTTTTGTGAAAGATTGGTATTTTTGTCCTGATTTGTAGGAATCTGAAAAACGCGTTTCACAACTTGTCTCTTATTTAGTTTTATGCGTCATTCAAGATGGCGGCCCCCATATAGTAAATATCATATTTATTTAATTATCACGTGTGCGCCAGCTGACTGTAGTGAGAACATACTTTATTTGAATTATCTACATCTTGAACTAGCGAAATTACATGCCAGACAAGTGACATTGATGCCATATCTGATACCACTGTGTTATCATGTTTAACTGCAAGCTAGTTACATTTCCAAAGTAAAATCTTTTGAATGTTGAGGCGAGTAGTTTTCTACAACTCTTGGTTGACAATTAATCATGGTAAATTTAAAAATCAAATATTTTTGTCATACAATCTGGTAGAAAGCTGAGAGGAATTTCTGTAATTAAGAAGCTAAGTTTGCTAATCTCCTTAATCTATAATTAAGACTAGTTCTGTTTTCCCTGCTATTTTGGTCGCAATTGTACTCACCTATATAAACTAGTACCATTTATTTATTGAATCCTAACAAACGCTCTGAACCATGTGTGGCTGAACATTCCTAGCTGAAATTATTTAATGAAAATGACCTTGTCAACAAACGTGAACTTAAACTTTACATTGTTCATCAAGTAGTCTACTTCACAAATTTTATTGTATATGGAAAAGTGGTTTTAATGATACATTATGTATTAGGAAAACATAAAACCAATTAAATATGCAAATAATAATAATAGAAAACTTGTGTATGTTGTTTTCAAACTGACTTAAAACCAAATGGTACTTGAGATACAAACGCAACAAACAATGTTGTAAAAAGACCCCTTATTATTATGCAAAATAATTTTCAATACTAGTAAATAGTTTATGCAAATCACTATGAAGACGTACCTAGTTATGACTTTTATCAAAGTCTTACAAGTGCCTTAAGATATCTATATTTAAATACCACCAGAGTGAGTGAAGCTTTGTTGTTATATAACTAGATTTGCAGAAACATCGTGAAAAAAGAAAGTAACGTTTTGTTGGCCAAAGGAGGGCGCTATCAGTGAACGAGAACTCCGCCTATCCATCGCTGTGTGTGTGGCTTATTAAATCAGCATAGATTTATTTGCTGGTTTTTAGTGCTGGCTTGCAAAGGAATGTACTTTTAACATGGGGATGTACTAGCAGTGTGGATACACACTATAAGTTGTGTTGTGTAAGGAAGAGAACCAGTAGTAGAAACAAAACATGGTTTCATCGTAGCTTTATTTAAATTCATGCCAACATACATTTTTGACAATCTGAACTGCATAGAAATAATTAAAAAATTAAATTACAAACTGTACTCTGAAAATAACAATGTACATACATTCTAAAAATTCATGCTTCATACTCAACCTTTCACATTACGGTACACGGCGTAAATGGTTAAATTTTTTTGTAAAAATTAAACCTGACTTTAATTTTCTACATTCCTATACTATGGAGCATAATGGATTAGTTTATGGGAGGGGTAATAAATATTAGTCAAACTATTATGAGGTGCTAAAATTGTGCCCCCCCCCCAATCTTGAAATGACATAATATGATGCTTGTACAGAAAATATCAAACACAATTTATACATACAGACACAAAATTAGCTAATGAATACTCAGTATTCATATTTATCTAGTACATACATGTACGGTAATATCACTTTCACAGATATTAAAAACAACCCAATATTTTCAGTTCTTTTTTGAATACCTATTAAAAAACAAAGCTTAAAAAAAAAACCTAAAATATATAATACATTAATACTGGTGCCAAGCCACTCTAAGACAAAAATTGTCAAAATGATTAAACCTCATAGTTGCAGGTGAAAACACATTAATGTAAATAAGCGATGCAGTTTTTAGCTGCAATTTACTATTTTAAAATAACTACCACTCTACTGCAGTTGAAACAAACAAATACAGTTCTGAATGATAAAAAGTAAGTCAGTTATGAACACACCTTACTATAGATATTCCTGACAAGTATACAGTAACTAATATTACTTTGACAACATAGCAAATTACAGAAGAAAACAACTATTTAACATATTTAATTGAGTTCTTTGTTTCATAATGAAATCACCTGCATGCTTAATGAGTAACAATAATGCACAAGATACACATACGATACACTAATTAGGGTTCACAATGCGCTCAAAGGTAGACATTAATGAGATATCTATTTCTAATTTCAGCTATTTACATGTGGGTACCAGCACATGCTGAAGGACTTTATAATTATCATTATTTTATTTTTATCTTAAATTGGACAGTGTGTGGTTAATACAAGAGAAATTAAATTTGGATCTTCCAAGTCAGTTGCGCCAGCACAACTGCAAGAAAACTGATACTGGAAATAACACTGTCTAAATTAAATGTTCTCTATATTACCTACAATCAACAATAAATTTTTTGTGTGTAACAAAAATGTCCAGGAATGGCAAGCACCATAGATATCCAACCAGGGCAAAAAACACCCATAATGTAGCTCCTAACAGTACAGAATTTATTCAACCACACAATAAAATTACCATAATAACAATACCATCAAATCTCCATTAGAAGCCGCATCACTAATAGAGTCGCACCCATTCTTTTTCAGCAATTGAGAACCAAAAATTCACCATTTCTCCTATGTGTAGATAGCTCCAATAGAAACCGCATCCCCTCTGTTGCATTGTACCATTTTAATAGAAGTCGCGGCTTCTAATACAGACTTTACAGTAGACCATTTTCTGTTCATTGTGAGATCCTGCTTTATACGTGAAACCGAACGAACAAACAAAGGTCATAGAAACACAGTGATATCAAACCATTGTATATTTTGGGCATATTAATGTGATATACACATTTGATGAAGGGTATTTTAAGGGTATTATAACACAATATTCCCCTCTTAGAAATCAACATTGAGCTATAACAAATAAATTGGAAAGTCTTTGAGTTGTCTTTAAATTACAGGAACAATAAATTTCTTCATAGTTATTAATTCATTTTTAGAAAGGCTCGTTTTTTCCAGGGAACTACCATATCCTCAGAACTTTGATGAGATTTGGTGATGATGTTGGCCTGAATTAACAAACTGTTCAATTTTTGCTGCAGGCGCTCGACCCACAGCATTCGCAATGAATAGAAAATTACCCATAAATATTAATTGTTGTCGCAAGTATTTGAGTTATATAGAGTGAGCATGGTACACTTTATATAAAATTGCAAATACTTTAAAAAGATATTTTTGTATGTGACTGACATAAATATCCACCAATATAACTATAACTGAAAGCTGAAAACATGACACACTCACTGAAAAAAATAAAGTCAAAGACACTTCAAAATCGCTGATAATGTGGACACAGCTTTTGCCATTAAGAGATAATATACATATTGGTATATTGATATAATATTACATAAAACATGCTTGCATATTACACATTGGCACAATAATTGTTTTCAATAAACGACAATCAGTGGGGTGTAACCACCAACTAATATCTTTAAGTTCAAGTTTTACACTATGGTTAACACTTAGATACATTCTATAAAAGTAGCACTAAATATCTGACTAATTACTGATTAATTATTTGTATTAATATTATAGTACTAATATTATTTTAATATGAATTACTAAACTTGAATATATCTATGTATACGTAATAATCACAGGATGTGAATAAACCATCTAAATTAGATGCGAGTCAATCTACAACTGGCAGATTATATAGATGTTAATACAAGTACATGTATACTTCTAATCTAATATCAGATTAGGCAGTAGTAAATTATCACAAACCAAATTCATTAAAAGACGCATGTGATTATCGGTAGTTACTTCCCTTGTTACAAGAACATGGGCGTATCAATTCATACGGGTTTATGAATTGATACGAACTTTATGAACTGCATTTATTCCATTAGAAGCACATATCTAACAGAGGTGCATATGAGCCAAGAAATACATTGAACCTTGGCTGAATTAAAGCATATATATGCAATCCTTTAGTCTCCCAAAAAAAATGATTAAATTTTTTTCAAATATGGGGTTGTGAGGTATTTTTTATTTTCTAAAATATTTGACAGGGCACACATTTTGCAGGTTTCATCAAGAATGGGCGCTATGCAATGTCTGAATAATTGATTGACCCACACTTTTTTGGGTAGTTCTTACACTGACTAGAAACATTACTTTTTTTTCGGCTCAATGAAGCAAATATGGTGGTTATATGCTTATCAGCAAGACTATGCTTTCAATGCAAAAATAACTAGAAGTCCTGAGTTGATTTTTAAATAACACAGAGGACTTCTTAAAGACAATGAAAAATTAATAAAAGTTTAGTTGAGTATGCCTCAAATTATGGTATTCTATATGACAAATCTTATATCACCTCTGACATGACTATCAATATATAATGCACAGTAGATGCGAGAAGAAAAGTACAACTCTAGCTAGTTGACAATGATATTGACGTGGTGACAGTACCAGTGGACTGATCTGTGGCAGATTTTGGTGTTCTCATCGTCTTATGAAATATCTTGTTGGCAAGTTCTACAGACAGATGGAAGACCCGTATAGTTTTCTCACTGGAAGAAAACAAACAAAATTTTAAAATTTGATGAAGTATTGGAACAGAAATTATTTGAAAACAAAAAATAATTGCACGGTTATGATGCTCACCATAGTTGTCTTGGTGGTCTGGCTTCGTTGGCACTAATAATAAATAAAGGGAACAGCATAGAGAACACGCAACCACTAACAATCTGTGACTGGGGTAGGTAAGTGCACACAGCTAAAGGTAAACCAAATCCAACAAAGTAAGGCCAGTTACTCTCGATGTAGTGGATGCGCTTGTGAACTTCCCAACCTATAGAAGTATAAAGTAGACACAACTTGAATAAAACAATAGAAAGATTGCATTAAAAGATCAATTCTAAAGGAAATTTTTACACCAATCAACTGTGTTGTGTTTTGTCATCCAAAAAAATGTAGCTAGCACTGAAACCTATCTTAATGCTTTTCAACAAAAGAGAAAGCTCCACTGCAGGACTATATATATACTGGTATATATATATATATATATACACACACTTTGTGTCTTGTTTCCAATTCTGACTCATTTTCTCAAGTCACATATCTTTGTTCTCATAAATTGTACTAAACTTGTATATACTAGTTAACAGGCATCAAAGATGAAACACTGACCAACGTTTACTGTGCTAAGATGAAACCACCAAAGTTGGGTTTGTTTTCCAACTTCTGCACTCATTAAATTATTTGTACTCACCCATATTAAACCATTTGTATTCAAATGCATATAAAGAATACAACAGACACAGATGAAAAAGACTTAACAGAGTAGCCATACCAGATAGAGGTATCAATCCAACAAACATAGCCTGAAAAAAACAATGAACACAAAGATATGAACATTCAAATAACATTCTATACAAACACCACTGGCTGCGCATAAAACAATGTTTTACATTTGGAACTGTGCTCATTACATTTCATGCTAATCATGGTACTGCAACTTGTCTCTGTTCACAAAATCAACTTATGTTATTCATACACAAATCAAAATTAAATGCCTTTGGAAGATGTGCTTTTTATAATGCTGCCCCATAACTATGAAACAGTTTATTAATATATAAATTTACCTGTCATTAATAATAATATTAACAAGTAATAAAAAAACCTGCTATATTGCATTGCAATGACCAAACTGAGGATAAGTGCTCACCACTAACAGATTAAAATGGAAAGATACAATAATCTACCAATCTCTGATAGAAAATGTTCAGTTTGTGAAATTAAAGAAATTGAAAATGAGCAACACTTTTTGCAGTCATTTCAGTTATACGCTAAAGAAAGAGAAAGTTTGTTTAGAAAACACAACATCATTCATGACAACAAAAACAATGAACAGTTATTAATTAATATTTTAAACAATGATGTGGTGAAACACATCTATAACTGTTTTAATATACAAGAAAATTCAATTAAAAGTGAAATGCTTGAACTAGCTGCTTCAGAAAATACAAATTAACCAGTTTTTCTACGTCTAGAAATTTAAGTTTTTTTCTGTATTGTTACCGTACTTATCTGGGTAAGAGCTCATGCCTGGGCAAACGCCCACCCCCCACTTTTCACACATAAAGAAGTTGAGGTCATATCCGGGCACACGCCCAGGGGGTCTTTTTCTATACAAAAAATAATAAAAAACTATTTTCAATTCATTGACTGTGGTTGTATCAACAGTTGACTTTCTTGCAGTCTCTTGTGATGCTCATAAAAATACTTTAAATATAATTGTTAATTGCGTAAAACATGGGGTGAACACGCAATAGCTGTGACATCTTTCTGCCTTCAGGGCAGCGCGTTCACCGCTGATTTTTTTCAGAATCATAAAAGTCAGCAAGTCTATAAAAATATATATTAAAGCAGAAACGGTAGTTCTCTTTTTGAAATATGATGTGGCCCTAAAAAGGGCCGGCCGTTTGGTTTGTGCTTCCATAGAAACGATTCAAGCAAATCGTATAAGGAGAGCCGCTAAGCAAGTGCCGCACTCATTCGGCTTTAGCGTCGTCGACAATAAAACCAATGTTGCAATATTGTAGCAACCCGTACCTGGAAGAGTGGTTGAAATCACGTTATTTTGGCTTTATAAAATATTTGGTAGCAGCTTGCGAATCCATAAATGCAATTTTGCAATGTCACGCAATGTCACGCCGAAGACTGCCAACTTTTTTACCATCTTTCATTCATCACCGCTATTGCATTTCTGTCATGAAAACTATTCTTCTGTCGTTGGATAAAAAAAAACTTCCCATTTCAAGTCCACCGCGATATCCATATAGTTAGACATTCCAACCGCTGGAACTTGCTAAATGATAACTTTCACCGTGATTGATAAGCGTAGAGTCTGATAAGAAAGCAATGGCACGATTTGACCTTTACGATGATGAAATACCAGTAGTGATGTCATCTTAGCCAATCAGTTAAGCAGATGCATAAAGGTCAAAGATGATTGCCAGACTGTAAACAAAAACAGCGTGTGCCATCGCAGCAGAGTGATCCTATTTTTTTGTCTCTTTATTGTGATTAGATATGAATGAAAAGTGCCAAGGTGATAGACCAAGGTGAAATCCGTGGATTAAAAATGTCCAAATTGTGTGGGGCGATATCGACGAACTTCAGGAAAAAGTTTTAGGGATTTTGTTTGACGGCTACAGTGACGCCGACTTGGACTTTGAGGGTTTTGAGTTTGACGAAGATGGCAATGAACGTACAAATAAAGATCTGAGAAGTTTTTTCAAACAGCTATGAATTTTTATAATTTTTACTGTGTAAAATTGTTAATTATTATTGATCTTATATGACAGTTGATTCGTAATTTGTGGAGACCGGGAATCATTTACGTAGTTTAACCCCAGACATTTTAATTCATTTTGAGTTCACGTGCATTGGGTGTGTTTGTCGGCAGGAAAATCCTAATTCAAATGATTCCTCACTGTCGATTTTTTATTATTTCTGGTTTATTTATCACAGTATAAGCAATACATTAATTTTGTTTTACTTCTAATGCTGCATATTGTTCATTTATATCGGTTGCATGTTTTCATTTGCCGTTCTATTCCCTACCGCAGTTCGATCTGCGTGTTGAAAATTTTCGTGAATTTTCGTTTTTTGCCGGGGATTTCATTAAAACCTCAGATATGGGAAATGATAGCAATAAAGATTCTATTCTATTGAAAACTAAGACACTTATGATCTAGGAAGTGATTAGATATGTATGATTTACCTGAATCAGGAATATTGCCTGTATAACTATACTAAACAGAAGATCAGCTACCATAGTACTTAAACCTAGCATCTGTGGACGTCCACGTGACTTTCTGTAGGCAAGATCTCCTATGTCCTGAAAATGAAAGGTCTTGACTCATTAATAAGGCAAGAGGTAAAGCTACTTACATGTAAGGTACATGTACATTATAAAGGTACTCGCAATACATGTACTAACGATTTTACACTAAATATTGGTGCTTTTATGTTACCTTTGAAATTATTGAGAAATACAAACATTTTCTTTAATAGAGAATTTTCACTTTATGAAAAAAATCTAGATAATGTCCCATCCAAAATAGGTTATCGTTTGTGGACTATTAAAAGTACATCTGCTTTATAAGTAAATCAGTCCATGGTCAAATTAAGATATTTACCAGTATATGATCTAGCATACCATAAATGCAATTTTTGGTTTATATGTGTTTCTATTGAAGACATGCTTCTAATACAGTACATATGATATACACGTCTTCTGGATATATCCGTCTAATAGGGTAAGTATGATTGATGCACGGATTTTTTTAAACAAGGGAACAGGGGCGCAGCACCCTCATGCCATGGTCATGCTCCCTCTTACCCTGGGGAGCAGATCCTCTGGCAACCATAAAATCCTGATTGACCAAGGATCACATGTGGCCACAGTCTTCAACTGTGATCTGTCTGATAGTAATTTTGGCCCCAAGGAAGCCATAGAACGCTCCATTTTAATTTAGAATTATCAAAAACTCCACACCCTGATAGGGAGAACTCTAACTCCCCACTTGGTGGCGCTGCTGAATTGTAGTGCTCCCTCTTGCATTTTTTTTCGACAAAAAACCCTGATTGATAGATATATTTCTTACCTGAAACCATAAACTATTGACAATTTTAGAAAGTAGAAAGAGTGGTATGACCCACAATGCACTGAAAGTATATGATAACATCGGTCCCAGCCATGACCACACAACTAAACTTTGAACTGCACTATCACCTAAAAAATATAATGAGATTTCCTGGATAATCAACATTACCAAATACAGACAGTGTGGTTCACAGTACAAATCAGTGCAGGATAGGATGGGATAGGACAGTGACACTGTTTTTATATTACACGACTAAAAATAAAGTAGTATCTAGACATAACAAAAACTGACTCAAAGATAGTCAGAGGGACATAGCTGATGATTGTTATAAACATTATTGACATTGATTACTTTAAATATACGAAGTCACATTAGTTTTTGCCCACTATTGATAAACACATGCCAACTTTTCAAACACAGATCCTTGTTGATACAATATTGTACTGGCTGTACCTGATAAGCTTCTAATTATAGATTCATGAAATACCCGAACAAAACAAAATGTTCCATGCTGCTTGGCTTATGTTGAGCTGAATCATTGACATTCTTATTCTCTTAGTTAATTTGGGTTTTGAGAAATACTCATATTATTAATCTCATATAACATATTGGGCTTCACCAAAATCCAAAAATAGAATTAATTTCTCCTTTTTATTCGAATACTGCACAAATGTTACACAGGCACACTTTCCCATGTACATCACCACACCAGTATTATCATATAAAAGCAAACACATCAATATCAGTATATGAAAAATATACTGTATGAAATCGTACATTATATACTGTATGAACAGACTGGGGATAAAATTATTTTTCACATATTTAAAAACAACAAGCATGGTTGAAACATGCAGCATAAACACAAAAATTTAATGAAATGTGTGAGTGGACAAATTAATGTACCGATATATGGTTTTATTGCACATTACCCATACATGCTGAATGTATAACTTATACAATACAATGCACATGAAAATGAAATAGGCACTGAGAAACAACTCTTCAAAATATTGTAACTCATAGTTTGTAGTTATTATTGGTAGTTAGAAATCTTAAGTAATTTATACTCACCAACTATGTAGTAAGTTAATTTTTCTAATAACGGTAAAACTATGTTATTAAATATTGCTATACTACACCAAAACACACCACCATTGAAGGTACAACACTGTATGATACGGAACAGAATACGAGTCTCGCTGAAAGACAAAATGGAACACAAAATAACACAGCTTTTTAATCGATGATAATCAATGTAATTTGTTATGAACTGGTACAGTGTTACTAATTGAGTGAAATATTAGGCTAAAAAGAATGATTTGTTTCTACTCTTGAGATGTTCCAAAGAATGAAATAATAAGATTTTTTATGCAATTCAATTTTTTTATTTTTTGAACTCACACACACACTGACTAGAAACAAATCAATTTTTTATTGGCTGTGGTTTAATGCAGTAAATAGTATACCCACAGTCCCTCAACACTCGGTTAGGAAATTGTTCTAAGGTGTGAATCACCCGAGTCCTGTGTACAGTGCGTGTTTTGCTTGTGGAGAGAGAGCAGTGACGTCACAGCATTATCTTCGAGCTCGTTCGAAGCACGTCGGTCCAGTGTTACGTCTACAAATATTGCGTGTTTTTGATCAAAGTCGGTAAATTTTATTTAAAGTTACAAATCTCTGTGTGATCATATCGGTTTCATGAAAGGGCACGTGTACATGTAGTTTAAAATCCATATTCATTATAAATAACGAAAAAAAAAACGATTTTGATTTCAAACTGTAGCTTCCATGTTCATTTATTATTACTGTATGCGTTACGGCAATAGTACCACGAAAGTTTCAACCCTGGTGAATCGCGTTACCACCCCCAAAACAAACACAGTCGTTATCAATTTGTGATTTGATACATTAATTTTGGACAATATTTTTTACTTTGTGCATAAGTGCTGGGAAGGTGTTCATTTCAGTCATTCATTCATTCAAGATGGCTGTTTGGTGTCGCTAACAGAAAATGTTATTCCGTGAGAAATAGGAACTACCGAAACTTAAAAGATAGAATTAATTGTAGCTTTTAGATAACCAAACCGTTTATGTTGTCATATGACCCATTCTATTCTAATCATAATTAATAACATTATGTCACGTTACCTGTTACATGTGCTCGGCAGAATTTTTGTTTTCAAGATGGCGATACCTACTATTGTCGCCGTTATGCTGAAAGTATCCGATCGTATCGACCTTCGTATATGCACATTTCGGCTTAAACTATTATATAGTTAGTACAATATGGAGATTAGATATCCCAAAAAATGGCAAATATTATTTCCATTGCTGTTCTCTTATTTTTTCATTCGTTTTTTTCCAAGTGGTGGTGGCGATCCATTATGTCACCCCAATCAATATCACTGTCGACGAAATCTTTGTGTTTTTCCTGCATTCCGTTAAAATAAAATGCCCAGAAGTCAGTAAGTTGAAACTTTCACAGCAGTGAAACATGAAAATAAAGTTGTGTACGCCTGCGCAGAAATTAATTGCGAGGTATTCTGGGTGAAAATGATGTCATACTATATGCTAATTTTATGTTAATGTAGACAGTGTGGGGATTACCGGTAAACTAATTTTACGAACGCGAAACACGTTTCCTAACCAGGTGTGGAGGGACTGTGGTATACCAGAATAAAGTACCACACATTGTGCATAGTTGACACATTTGGTGGTGATATTTACTTAACAGATAAATCATTCGCCTACATAATCACTTGTGTTTTATTCATCATAACTATCACATGACCAATCTTACAAATTGTTGTTATTAGAATAGATTAGCCAGTGTAAAATTATTCAATTTGTCATCATATTGAACAATCTTGCAGTTGGATTGACAGTGACACCCATGCATGACATACCCTGCTTCCTTCTTTGGTGGTGGTCTTCCTTTCAATCGTGCCCACTCTTCTCTTTTCTTTCTTACTTTTTCCTCACGAGCACTCAGCTCACTGTCCATGCTATATATCTTCAAGGTGCCTGCAAATGCATCTTTCATGCCATTTCCTATACCCTGAAGGATTTCTTTGACATTATCCGTCATAACTGAAGTCTTTTAATTAGATGTACAAGTCACAGAGATGAATGACTCAAGTAGTCTACACACTTTCTGAAAAGATTAAGTAAAGTCAGTGATTTTTTGCTGCTAGAAATATTAACTACTGTGGAATACTTTATTTTCGCTGGAATTAATTTTCACTGAAAAGGCTTTTTGGGCATTTTGTATGGAATTTATTTTCACTGATTTTTGATGAGTTTAATGTAAAATATAGGAAAAAAAGTATATTCGCTGGATTTTATTTTCACGGAATCATCCCTTCAGCGAAAATAGCGAAAATAAATTCCAAGCGAAAATAAAGTATTCTACAGTATTTAGTTTGCAAGAACAGACAGTCACTTGACTTGTAAAATGTTTAGGTAGACAGGCATACAGTATGTCAAATGAAAAATGTACATATAATATGGTGATCAAGATAAAGATCTCACAAAAAATGAACTCTTGTACTTTGTAGCATTTAAAAGCGATTCCATTCAGTGCATATTAATGTTTCTAAGGGCTAAGAAAAAAAAAATTGCAGTTCCTGTAACAGGCTAACTAAATATTTGGTAAGCAGATTAGAGTTTTTATTTTAGTTTAGTTTAGTTTATTTTTATTTTTCTAGTGGACCACATTTTTACAGGTTATTTCTATTACAATCATGCATTTAACATAGACATGAGAATGACTACCACTTGTAAGTTTATACTATAAAACCATTTATTTTCAATGACACGTACGGTAATTTCACTATTTTCACGTTTTGAGCAATTTCCCTTGGTTTCATTTTCACAAACTTGGCAAGGAAACAATAAGTTCTATCGTTTTTTTCTACATGCCCATGTGAATTTAATTTAGTGAATTATACTTATTAATAAAAATAGCGAAATTAAAGAACAGTGTATAATTAATGCAGTCATATTCTGACCATTTACTAAACCAAAGGTAAATAAACAGAATAATTTTTGTGAGGACATGACTAATTTGTCTAAATATACAATAAAATGGGCTAATTTGCAAACAAAGTTTGACTGAAAATATTTGTAGAAAGTTACCTTTGCCTAATCGATAGCATATCGATTTTACTTGAAACAAGTTTGTCTGCATTAACATAAATGAGCAACTGTACATGCATTCAAACACTCAAAATACAATTACAAGTGTATACATGCTTTGCAAATAAATAAGGGCATTAGCAAAATGTTCTGAGATGAATGCTAATCAGATACTTAACAGAGTCACTAATTTATACAACTTGTCAAGATTTCTAGCTCTTCATCGCATATCACACCACTGGCATACCTTCATCTTATAAATTCATCAAAACATATGGAATATTGGTTGACCAATAAATTAAACCCCAAAACAAAATAGTGATGTTACGAATGCAATTTTTACCACCCTTGTTCGACTGAGAATCTAAATTGGGAATTATTTGCTTATATAAACTTATTTTTTGGGGAAAATATGGTTTTTATTATGCATCATAATTTTTAATGGAGTCAGTTAAGATATGGGATCAAGCTCAGGTCATGCCCATTAATTTTTCTATCCACTTAAAACTTGGAAACTTTTATTATGTCTTAGAACCAGTAGCGAGAGTGATAAATTTATTTCCATTATGAGCAACAAACATATGGTATTTCGGCACAGATCTAGAAGCAGTACCTACACACGAATTGGTGACGTCATAAAATACATGACCTTCAATCGGGGTCGTTTCCTCGGTATATACGAATTGGTATATACAAATTACAATAAAGATACTTAAGACATTACACATAAGGTAAAACAAATCACGTG